GGGGATCGGGATGGGGAACACATGTAAATCCATGGCTGATTCATGTCAATGTATGGCAAAAACCACTACAATATTGTAAAGTAATTAGCCTCCAACTAATAAAAATAAATGAAAAAAAAAAAAAGAAGATACTTCATGTGTAGTGAGAGGAACTTACAACAGTTTTCCGGTTTCCAGTACTTCCCTCCCACCCTTTGCTACTGTTGTCATGAGTTTTACTGTCACACAAGTTATTATTTAGCACCTTACACTGCTCCCGTTTTTGCTTTAGTCAGTCAGTTCTTTTTTAGAGCCCCAAAAAACTCCACAAAAGACAAAATAAATTCTATTTTCCATTTTTACTGCTCTTTATTTTTGTGTGTAGATCCAAGCTCCTGTCTGATATATTGTTTTTGCTCGAGGAACTCAACATTTCTTGTAATGTCTCCTAGCAATCAATTCCGTCACTTTTGTTTATTTGCAAGTCATCCCTGACTTTCTTCTGGATATAGAATTCTGGGTTGACAGGAGTTTTCTTCAGTACCTTAAACATGTCACTTTATTTCCTTCTATCTTGTTTATGTTTATTGGCTATTTAAATATGCTTTTTTGTGAAGCACCTATTTTTGCCTGCTTGCTTTTTTATACTACAAAGTACAATTTTTAATTGATTTCATGAATTCTTTAAATATCCTTTAAATACAAGCCTTTTGCATGTTAAATGTGTTTCAAGAATCTTCTCCCACTCTGTAGCTTCTCTTTGCATTTTCCTCATTGTGTTCCTCAGTTTCAAGTCACTATTTATCAGTCTTTTCCTGACAGCTATTTTTGTGTCTTGTTTAAGAAATCTTTCCTACTTTAAAAACATGAACATACTCTCTTATATCATATCCAAAAAACTACAGTTTTTTGACATTGGAAACAATTTCTGTGTATAGTTGAATTCAAAGTCCAATTTCAATTTTTTCCATAATGTTCTTCAGTTGCTCAAGGAACTTATTAAACCCCACTGCTCTGAAGCCTTGTCTCTGATATCTAACACTGCATTTGTCTGTCTCTTCTTTTCTATTAGTCTATTTGTCAACTATAATTTTAATTACTATTGCTTTATGATAAATCACAAAATCTGGGAAAGCACGTTTTTTCTCTCTTGTTCTTCCTCAAGAGTTCTTGGCTCTTCTTGGTTGTTTATACTCCCATGTAAATCTGAGAATCAGCTCATTGAGTTCTATTAAAAAAAAAAAACTGCTGGAGTTTGGACTGGGTAGGAGTTAGATGTTACTTGTTTGCACAATTCATACGATTATGTTTGAGAGTAAGGTGCTGCTGAAAGGAGTCTGGCAAATTCCCCTGCCCCTGCATCTGTTTGATCCTGACTGTTCTTCCCTGACTTCCCAGTCTCCTTTGCAGCAGAAGAGGACATGAGACACAATTCCTCCCCCGACACCACTTCTTCCTGACTTAACCAAGCTTTTGATTATTCTATTTTCTATTGAGTTTGAAAATTTTACACTGTTTCTAGCATTTTGCTGGTGGGCTCAGTAATGAATTACCAGATCTACTCTGCTACAAAGTCTAATCAACATCTTTACTCTCCTTCCAGAAAGTATTTATTCCCATTGACTTCTGACTTTATCTCTTCAAAAATCCTTTTATATATTCTAATTCCATTTCTTAAAAAAAACCATAAAGACATTATGATCATTATTTTATACAATGTACAGGGATTTCCCTGGTGGTCCAGTGGTTAAGACTCCATGCTCACAATGCACGGGGCATGGGTTCCATCCCCAGTCAGAGAACTAGATCCCTCATGCCTCAACTAAGACTCTGCATATCCAAAAAAAATTTTTAAGAGGTAATGCATTAATACAATGACACCTTTGTTTTGTTTCTCAATTGGTTCAGAAATTAAGGAGGAGGGAAAGGCATTAATTACTGGGCCTCTCAAAAATTAAAACTAATCTAGTAAATTAGTTTACTGATACAAAACTATGGTTTTTCTAGTAGTCATGTATGGATGTAAGAGTTGGACTATAAAGAAAGATGGCAGCTGAAGAATTGATGCTTTTGAACTGTGGTGTTGGAGAAGACTCTTGAGAACCCCTTGGACTGCAAGGAGATCAAACCAGTCCATCCTAAAGGAAATCAGTTCTGAATATTCACTGGAAGGATCGATGCTGAAGCTGAAGCTCTAATACTCTGGCCACCTGATGCAAAGAACTGACTCACAGGAAAAGACCCTGATGCTGGGAAAGATTGAAGGCGGGAGGAGAAGGGGACAACAGAGGATGAGATGGTTGGATGGCATCACCAACTCAATGGACATGGGTCTGGGTGGACTCTGGGAGTTGGTGATGGACAGGGAGGCCTGGAGTGCTGCGGTTCACAGGGTCGCAAAGAGTCAGACACAACTGAGGGACTGAACTGAACTGAACTGAAAAAAAAAAAAGAGGTCAAAATGTTTCTGCCACACAACCACAGGTTTGCTTTATGCTGTACTAATATACAGTGATTCCTGCTTCAGGTTAGAACTGAAAGCCCTGCACTAGACTTACTGAGACAATGTAGAGGAATTCCATTTATTCACTCACTATCAGGTCTGCTGTCTGATTTGAACAGATAGGTCAGATGACCAGGAAAACCTAATCCAGTGAAAGCGTGAGGACTCTAAGAAATATTATCCTTGGATTTTTAACATTTCATCAGTTATATTCTTAGAGAATCCTACCTGTTTATGGTCATATGCATTTGCATTTCCTTCAGCTGTAATGCCAGACAGCACTTGTGGGCTATCCTATGCCTTTCAGCAAAGAACACTGATCATAAATAATCAAGACAGTCTTAGCACAGGAATGAATTTAGCATAGGCCCAACCACTCACTCTGATTCCCTCAGTTTTAACAAACAGACCCCATTAAGCATCTACAGTCATTCACAAATGTGGAAGGAATCAGACACCATTTAAAATCTACTCTTTCCCCTGTATTTGTGAATTATGGGATCAACATTGCTTTGTTAAAGAAAATCACTCACCTTCAATAAATTCTGGCCAACTTAACATCTTTTATTAAATTTTAAGTACCCTTAACCCATTTAGACCATCCCAACTTAACAAAGAAATCCATTGGTAGGTGATGCCTCTAAACTGGCCATTGGAGACTATCCCAGTGGCAGTAAGGAGACCCGCAAACTAGACCCAACTTCAACTCCTATCCCTGCTATCTGCTGCAAAACCAGCTGTGTCATTTGGGATATGGATTCTGGTGATAAAAACTAACACTGAGCAATGAAGCAACTTGCTGGAGGGCTCAGAGTGGATCATCCTACCACCACTGAATGTGAAACAGTTTCACTCAGTAAGTACTGAGACCCCACAGGGCTCAGCGTTCTACAATTAGATTGATATGTTGGCTGCAATCTTCTGCAATGACTGTAGGTGTTGCGGAAACTCTTCAAACTTCAGAAACATGAGACAAGTGAAAACTTGGCATTGTACTTTCCACCCCAAAGTGTGTAAGCTGTAAGGGAGCTAGGACACGTCTGATGACGGTCCCTTAGACTAGCTTGTTGTGAAAGAAGACTCAGCTGGAGGCCTATGAGGATATAATATGGTATCTGCAACAGCACGACATCATCTGTGAAGTTCTGAGGGGTTATTTGAACTTCTAATCATAACTCTATGCATTTTAGATCCATACAATTATATAGGCATATAATTCCCTAAATCATCAGCACGCTTTAGTTTTTCCCCCAAACTACATTGCAACCTGCACAGTCTAAGCTTTATTCCATATTTCCTAAGTATTCCTTACAGTACCTATCATCGATGTAAGTATACTATAAATGCTCTGAACACTGAATAAAATGAACCAGTCATATTTGCTTGGAAATAAAGGTCAACTTTGCCTGTCAGGAAACGGCAAGACCTCAAGGCAGTTTACCTTGAGAAAGGTAAGGCTCACCTCTTATTTCAAATGTGGAGATTAATCGGACTCCCAGTGCCATGGCAACGTTGGAGAGGAGGCAAAAGGCAATCTTTTGGAAGGAGCTCCTTCGGCTGTATGTGAACGCGAGGTAGAGATATGGGAGGTAGGTCAAGAAGAAGATGATGCCTCCTGAGGCAGTGGCAACATGAGCTGCAGATTCAGAAGGCAGAAATGAAAAGAGTTTCATCGATAATGCACAAGCAGTCTTTTCAGAAATTTTGATAGAAACCTTTTACACTTGTAGTTTCACTATCAAAAGATGAAGAGGATTTGTTGCACTTAAAAAAATGAATACATCTTATGAAAATGCACAAGCATTTAACTGCCTAGAACTTTCTCTGCTGTTGCTGCTAAGTTGCTTCACTCGTGTCTGACTCTGTGCAACCCCATAGACAGCAGCCCACCAGGCTCCCCCATCCCTGGGATTCCCCAGGCAAGAAAACTGGAGTAGGTTGCCATTTCCTTCTCCAATGCATGAAAGTGAAAGTGAAGTCGCTCAGTCGTGTCCGACTCTCAGCGACCCCATGGACTGCAGCCTACCAGGCTCCTCTATCCATGGGATTTTCCAGGCAAGAGTACCAGAGTGGGGTGCCATTGCCTTCTCCAATAGTGCATTAATAACATCTCCAACAGTAAAAACCGTTTTCTTCAAAGATGAAAGTGAAAGTCACCCAGTCATGTCCGACTCTTTGCGACCCCATGAACTATGTCTATGTATCTCCAGGTCAGAATACTGCAGTGGGTAGCCTTTCCCTTCTCCAGGGGATCTTCCCAACCCAGGGACTGAATCCAGATCTCCCGCATTGCAGGCAGATTCTTTACCAGCTGAGCCACAAGGGAAGCCCAAGAATATTGAAATGGGTAGCCTATCCCTTCTCCAGGGATATTGAAATGGGTAGCCTATCCCTTCTCCTGACCTGGGAATCAAACTGGGGTCTCCTGTGTTGCAGGCATATTCTTTACCAACTGAGCTATCAGGGAAGCCTAAAGATGAGAGGTAGATTAAACAGCATCTATGGAGCATTGCCTGGCACTGTGCCTAGCACTTTATATATAGTATCTTATTTAATCTTCCTAACCTCCCTGTTTTTCAGAGGAGATAAATTTATTTATTAACCCACATTAAATAAATTTGCTCAAGATCATGGGACTCATAAACAATGGGTCAAGGATTCAAGATTTCCAGGCCCTAAGCATAGTGGTTCCAGATTTGGAGAGAAACCAATCAAATGGAAGTCTGGGAAATGAATATAAAATAAAGGCAAACATTTGCATTCCAGGAAATTGAGAACAAGGATCGAAAATGTAAGGATTGCATACATAACAGAAAGAACCACCATTAAGGCATCAGGCAGCCCTTCACTGAACCCAACCACATGAATGATGGCTGACTCTGGGTGTCCTGTAGCTTCTCTGAATTTGCTTTTTTTGTAAAGGCTGATAATAACTGCTAATATGTTATAAGTGCTATCATTTTCCAAAGAAATGGATATGGAATCTTTTGATCTGCTCAAGGTCAGAATAAACACTGAGATGCAAACGCAGTGCTCTGAAGCCAGAACAAGAGCTTCTGATATGTAACAAGTAAATCCAGTTGTTGATCTACTTGATATATAGTAGTGTGCATCTGTTAATCTCATACTCATAATTTATTCTCTCCATTTTCCCTTTGCTAACAAGTTTGTTTTCTATGTCTGTGAGTCTGTTTCTGTTTTATAAATAAGTTCATTGGTATTTTTTTTAGATTTCACATGTAAGTGATACCATATGATATTTGCCTTTCTCTGACTTACTTCACTTAGTATGATAATCTCTAGGTCTATCCATGTTGCTATAAATGGCATTATTTCATTCTTTTTTATGGCTAATATTCCATTATCTGTACACCACATCTTCTTTATTCATTCATCTGCTGACAGACACTAATGTTGCTTTCATGCCTTGCACACTGGGGTGCATGTATCTTTTTGAATTACAGTTCTTCTCTTTCACAGCTGTATGGCCAGGAGTGGGACTGCTGGGTCACATTCGCTTTTGGCCACACGGGGTCTTCACTGCTGTGAGAGGCTCTTCTCCAGCTGTGCTGAGCCGGGCTGCTCTCTAGCTGCGGCGCAGACTTCCTGTGTGGGGCTTCTCTTGTCGCAGAGTGTGGGCTCTAAGGTGAGCTTCAGGAGTGGTGCACAGGCTCAGCTGTCCCATGGCATGGTGGGTCTTCCTGGGAAACTGGAGGAAGGTCCAGGAAGATCTGAACCAGAGATCGAACCCATGTCCCCTCCATTGGCAGGAGGATTTTTATCCACTGCGCCACCAGGGAATTCCCCAAGTTCTCTTAAATCCTCTTTTTTTGTGTTGCCAGCTGCCAGGCCTGTCCTCCAATAGTGTTTCTATCTGCACCTCTCTAGGTTGACCCATAACTCAATTCTCCTGCACTCTTTGGCATAACTTCTTATTATTTCTGCCTTTCATGATTCATCTATTCTACCTATCATTTTAGAGGTAATACCCCTCCTGACAGAACCAAATTCCCAGGAGTTCCTCTTTTATTATGGTGTCTTACTATTGTTATGCAACAACTTCACAATCAGGATCTGGAAAATTACCTCCCCTGGATGTCTTAGCCTTTCTTTCCTTCCAAACTGACTTATCATTTCCATCTATTTTGAAATAACATTTAGAAGCCCAGAGAAGCATAAAAGTGTACATATATGGAACTAATTTCACATGTCTTTAATGGGAAATGGAATTATTCCATTGTTAAAGTAACCATACAAGTGAAAACTTGACTCTGAAGGAATAATAATTAATGCCACAGGTAATGGAAATAGCAATGCTACCAAGAAAAGAAGTCATAAACACACTCCCTGACAGAAAATTGTATTAGGACTCACCTTTTTGGAAGAAAGTGCTGATCATGAATGCAAAGAAAATTGTGGCAATTGCAAAACACATTAGAAACACAAATATCAAACTAGGGTCACTGTTTCCGAACACTGCTGATTCTTCAAACTACAAAATAATCACAGGGGCACATAATTCTTACATGGAAAGAATGAAGAAAAGGCATAAAAGACCCTTAAAACAATGTGTAAATTTTTAAAAACCAGGACTATCTTAAATAAAACTATATATATATATATATATATATATATATATATAGGTTTTTAAGGCAGACCTTTAATCCAGCTTCCATTACCATTTACAAATCATGCTCTGTGTGTATACCTTTTTTAAGGAAAGCATAAGTTTGAATTCAATTTCTGGCCCAATGTGAATGTTCTTTTTGCTTTAATAAGAGAGTTTATCCTATTTACCATTATAACTACTACAAATAATTTTAGTATTCCTTTCAATATCTTATATCTTCTCTTTTTATTGTTTTCAGGCAACTTTCTTTTTTTATATATTTTGCTATATAGTCTGAGTTTTCCTGCCTTTCTACATTCAAAATGCTCCAATTTTGGTAATTTAGAAGGCAAATTTTCATATATCCATATATTATAATTTAGTTATTAAACACAAGTTAGTGAATTGGAACACAAAATTCCATTGACAGCATAAAAGGAAAAATTAACAAGATACCTGGGCATAAAAGAACATTCTTAACTTTTACAATAGCTATTTTCAATTATTTACAGAGCACAAAATTTGCAATGTTTTAAAGTTTATAACTCAACCTTCCTAATGAACTAATCACCCTCAGGCCCACTACTTGAAGACTGGAAAAGTGGAGGGAGGGCAAAGCTCTCCCAGATCATAAATTTCAATGCTTCCTCTGCCAAAGGCCTAGCAAATACCACCACGTCAACCTGAGGTTTTTAAAATGTTCAGCAATCACTGTGTTTTCACCATCTCTTGAATCTCACCACCACCACCACCCACACCACACCATACTTTACCCCCATTATCTCCAGAGCTTAGCACATCCTGAAAGACAAGAGACGTGTACCTCTGTGCAGAAGAGAATGGTCATGAAAGAAACAACAATGGAGGCAGAAATAAAGAACACGATGAACCAAGCCACCCAGTGTTGCCAGTTTTGCAGCCCCATCATGCACATATACTCCTAGAAAGAGAAAAGAACCAGACGTTACAGGGTCTTCTGGCTCAGTCTGAACTGGTCTGGTTTAGCTATCTGTTACTGAAACCTGAGCAGTCTGGGATGAAGGGTCCTATGTGTGTCCTGGGAAGAGGCGGATCATGGATGTGGTGGGGACTGAGTTGCAAAGAGATTAACAAACCAGAGAGTGGAGCTTCTCTGGTAGAGACAGACCTTAGGTTAAAATTATTCTTCTTTTGCTATGATTAGTAAACTGCTGGTTCATTCATTTACTGAACACTGACTATCCGTGAATGGCTCCTATGGCCCTGAGGATAGAATCTAAACTCCTCGGCATCCTGTGCTCTGGTCACAGAAAATCTTCCTATAATTCACTAAACACATCTCAACCTCTGTGTCTTTTTTGTTTGCTTTGCCTCTCACACATGTTGCTCTCTTTTTTCTCTCATTCTCTCTTTACCTATTGAAATCTTGCTTGATTTTCAAAACCTAGTTCAAGTGTTACCTGCTCTGTGAAGCCTTCTCTGCTCAGCTCCACCCTCGCCCGGTACAGCTAGCACATCCACACATCCCATTACCCAAGCACCGGGGGCTCCTTTGTAACATGTGACCTTACTGCCATGAATCACCCGAGGAAAAGGACGGTGTCATTTGTATCTGTAACTCACATGCATATGTCTAGCAAACACAGGTGAAAAACTCTCTGGTAAGTGAATAAATGCAAAGCTCTATGCTGGGTACCAAGCAGAAAAAATACCACAGGCAGAGCGACTGCATTCCAAAAGTTCAGTCTCATACTGGAGATATATATGTGGTAATAACTCTGTATATTCCATGCCCTAAGTACAGAAATAGAGTTTTTATCTTTTATAAAGTTCAGAAGTGGTAGTAGGTCAATGAATCAAAAATGAGTTGGTTAAAGCAGGGAATCACAAAAATGACATACACATGATTTAAAACTTCATCTTCACTTAAAGCACATAAATATGTAACGTGTGCCAGTACTGCAATGTCAGAACATGAACTCTTCTTTTGATGTGTGTACTGCTCACTGGAGCACTGGAGCTCATGTGACTGTGCTGGGTCTTCGCTGGGGTGCAGGCTTTTCGCTAGCTGTGGTGAGCTAGGGCTACTCTTCATGGTGGTCCACGGGCTTCTCATTGCAGTGGCTTCTCTTGCTGTGGAGCATGGGCTCGAGGGACCACAGGCTTCACTAGTTGCAACACACAGGCTCAGTAACTGCAGCTCGTGGGCCCTAGAGCACGTGCGTTCAGTAGTTGTGGCACACAGGCCTAGCTGCTCCATAGCATGTGGGATCTTCCAGGCCCAGGGATTGAATCTGTGTCTCCTGCATTGGCAGGTAGATTCTGTACCATTGAGACACCAGAAAAGGCCTTCTGCTTTCTTATTTAATATTACATCTTCTGTTGTATGTGCTTTTTTGTGTGTGTGTGATTTCCTTTGTTTTTTGTCTTTTGGTATATGGACTATATTCTCTTTCTTTTTATTTTTCTCCAGGGTTTTAAGAATTAAATGCCCTACTTTTAAATACTATTTGGTGTTTACTTTTAAGCTTTTCAAAAGTGTTCTTTATTTTTGTCTAGAGAGCAAACTCAAGTGTGAAATGGGAGACACACAACCAAGTCAATGATCTGGGTGAAAATATTTGATGCCCATCCCCTTCCCTCCACCAATCTGTTTCTGAAATGACTTAACAAATAGGAAAGAGAAAACTCCTTCCCTGAGATGGGAATGAGAAAGGGTTTCCAACAGCACACCAGAAGCTTCTGGCTTCCGTGGAGCTGTTCAGTCCATGCAGAGCCAAGTGGAGAGGCCTGCCATCAGGCCCTGTCTCAGCAGCACCAGTTGCAGTGGGTTAACACCCCTACCCTCCACCACGTCGGATTAAGCAGGAAATGCACCCCACCGCCACGGCCTCCCCGGCAGACTGATCGTGTGAGAAGGCAGAGCAAACCAGGCCTTGCTGGTGAGGCCGAGCGCGGTTCACGGAGCCACTGGCCGCCTACTTCAGCACATGAGCATCAGCAAAAGAGGAGGGACCGGAGAGACGGAGAAGAGGCTTTCTTTAAGAGCAAAATGTGAGGAGAGAAGTAACAAGAGATTCAGTAAGGAACAGAGGAGTGCAGAAAGATCTACCCTATCTTAAGCTGTGGCTTCTAGAGATCGCTCCCTGTCTACCTTGCCATAAAATAGCCTGAGTTAATTTTGGATGATTATTCCTCTCATTTTTCAGTTAGTTCACAAACATTTCTGCACACCTATCATGTGTGAGGCAGTGTGCTGGCAAGTCAGGAACCTAGGACAGACACTCCCCTTCTGAAAGTAAGAGTTCGCCTAATAACATGAGCTAAGCTGCAAGCTGGTTAAAATGGTGAAAGAATATCCAAGTTCCAACTCACCTCGAAGGCTGCTCTCATAGCTAAAGCCACCTCTCACCTGCCCTGGCCTCCCTCCTACCCTGGCCATTGTTTATTAGCAGTTCCCACATACTCCTGGCCACCTGTCTGTAGGACGCGATTACCTTCAGCTTCCTCTCCTTCTCCAGTACGATGGAATTGATGGTGATGAGCTCAATGCAGATGAAGCTGAGCATTAGGAAAAGAGGGAACTCATTCTGCAGGACCAGGAAGAAGCTGTCCCGGACATAGGCACCGTGTGGGAATCTCTTCAGAAGCACACTGAGGCTCTGAAACAGCCCAGTCGTCTCAGTGGGAGCGTGGTGCCACATGATGGCTCTATCTGTCGCATGCTGTATGGACAGGAAGCCTTCTTGGTAGTATCCTACATGAGAAAACAATGGATATCAAGCACAAGAGATTAAGAACAAAGATGCAAAATAACTGGTAATTCAGATGGGTGATGGCTAGCCATTCATACAGTCAGGAATAGAAAAGGCACTGCTATAGCCAAGGTGCTATGATATGGAAGAAAAGAGCAGAAAGTCACAGTGGGACTCGTGTGGCTGAGGGATGGTGTCTTTTCTCAGAAATGGGGTAAGCAGGAGTTCTGGGCAGACAAATGAGAGATACCCAACACAACCATCCTCAGGGCAGGGGGCATCTTCTCCCCTGAGTCCTCAGGCTCTGGGGAGGGTGCCCACTCTGGAGTTGTGCTCTCCACCACACAGGAAGAGTCAAATTCAAAGAACTTGGAAGACGCAGCCCCTCTCAACTGCTGTGACCTGTCCCTGCTGTAGTCCAAGGGTTATGGTCACTGAATTTTGCTGCCAAACCTCGAAACTAGTCTTCACCATAAGCAACTCTTGTTTCAATACAGCATAGCTGGTGTGCCAAGGTCAGCTTTTGGGAACAATAAATAGATTGAAAGGCAAAGATCCCTGGTCCTGGAGTTTTCTAAGAAATAATGGCCCACGTCCAAGCAAGGGTGGCCAGCCCTCCACACCGGCAGAGCCAAGCGGGGTATGCCAGCATTGGGGTAGAGAGGACTGAGGTCTTCTGGTGGCCAAGACCTAGGGAGGCCTCCAGATGTGTCAGGATGAAAAGGGCAGGAAGAAATTGTTAATGATAAATTTCTGGGAACTGTTACATATCTGTGATTGCAAGCAGGAGAACTGCCACAGAACTGCTGACACCCTTTCTAGAATCACATGAAACTATAAACCCTGGGACTTGGATTCCCACTTGGAGGGCTTGCGAGCCCAAGCCTTCAGGTCAAAAGTGTGGCCACCCTACAAGGTGCTACAGACTGGCGACTTAGTTTTTTAAGAGTAGTTCATCCCCAAGGGCCCTGAGAGGACGGTCACCCTAAACCACTCATGAAGACAGAGACCAAAACATGACGGGGATTTGGAAGGCGCAAGTCCCAGAGAGGACTGGTTCACACGCCTCCAATCAGGAGGCCACTGCTTACTGTGGAGGAGAGAGGATGAGAGAGTCTCCGCATCGCCCCACTGTTTTCCCTCAGTGCGGGGAGCTAACGGCAAGTACACGTTGTTATAAGCGGGAAAGTTAACATGTACAGAAATATAAAGAAAGTGCTCATTCTTGTAAAATGCTTCCATTCTTCTCTTGAACAATTCAGTATCATTACAAAACAATCAGAGGCTAAACTGCTGGACTAACTTACTCTAGAATGTAAGCATTTTACTAAATGCCACATTTCTTTTTTTTAATGTTTATTTATTTGGCTGCACTGGGTCTTAATCGTGGCACATGGGATCTTTAGCTGCGGCATGTGGGATCTAGCTCCCTGACCAGGGATCAAACCTAGGCCCCCCACATTAGGAAGACAGAGTCTTAGCCACTGGACCACCAGGGTAGTTCCCTGAATGCCACATTTCTAAATGTATTGCCTCAATCTCTTCTGAAATGTTAGTTTAGCAAGTGGTCAGACACAAAAACAACACAAATGGCGTCATTAAGACTGGATGAAACCAGCTCACGACAATGCACAGAGGCTTCCTCACCTGGAGCTCCCCCTTCAGAAACTCCATAGTCTCGGGGCTCATGACTTAGGTTAGGAGGATAAAGAAAGGATGTGAGCCAGCCCTGGACGTCATCTTGAGGGAGGATGAAACTCAAGGATAAATAATTCCTCTGAAAGAAACTGAAGCGCAAGTAGTACTTAACCTAGGAAGAAAGAGAGAAAACAAATGCAGTCATGAGATTGAGGAACTCAGAAATGGAACAAGACACAGCAAGGGTGTGCCTGACCTTAGCTTCCACGGGAGGAAGGGCACCCATGCTGTCCTCTGGGGGCAAATGTGGACGTGTCTTCCCTGCATCCTTCTGTGACCAGCCTAAGAAACAAGAGGGGTCACGACTCCCGTCAGGAAAGCAGTGCTGCGAAAAGGCTCTGAGTGCAGGCTCTGGAGCCAGACCACTGGGATCCAAACTCCCATGTCCTAATGAGCAATCACGGCAGTCTGGGCAAGTTACCTAACCTTGCCAGGTTTCCTCTTCAGTAAAACAGGAATGATGGCAACAGTACCTACCTCTAAGGTGCTGTGGGATCAAGTACGATGGTCCCTGGGATGGGCCTGCCATTTATAAGTGTCCAACATCCCGCACCAGTTCTAACAACTGATTGTTAGATACACTGTACCAGTTCCAGTTCAGTTGCTCAGTCATATCCGACTCTTTGCGACCCCATGAACCGCAGCACACCAGGCCTCCCTGTCCATCACCAACTCCCGGTGTCCACCCAAACCCATGTCCATTGAGTTGGTGATGCCATCCAACAGATCTCATCCTCTGTCGTCCCCTTCTCCTCCTGCCCTCAATCTTTCCCAGCATCAGGGTCTTTTCATAAGAGTCAGCTCTTCGCCTCAGGTGGCCAAAGTATTAGAGTTTCAGCTTCAACATTGGTCCTTCCAATGAATATTCAGGACTGATTTCCTTTAGGATGGATTGGTTGGATCTCCTTGCAGTCCAAGAGACTCTCAAGAGTCTTTTCCAATACCACAGTTCAAAAGCATCAATTCTTCAGTGCTCAGCTTTCTTTATAGTCCAACTCTCACATCCATACATGACCACTGGAAAAACCATAGCCTTGACTAGATGGACCTTTGTTGACAAAGTAACGTCTCTGCTTTTCAATATGCTGTCTAGGTTGGTCATAAGTTTCCTTCCAAGGAGTAAGCATCTTTTAATTTCATGGCTGCAATCACCATCTGCAGTGATTTTGGAGCCCAGAAAAATAAAAGTCAGCCACTGTTTCCACTGTTTCCCCATCTATTTGCCATAGCAGAGCACAAAAGCTATAGATCGGTGGTTTTCCCATCCTAAAGCAGAAATCAAATATTCTGATATTTATAACACTGCCTTTTCCTTAAATGAACAGATCCACCATATCTGAAGTCCATGGGATTAGTAATAATGACAATTACTATTCCTTCTGGAAAATGCCTCTACTCCAGGCCCCATTCTAAGACTTTATAGGCATAAAACTCGTTTAATCCTCACACCAGTTCTATGAGTTAGGAACTACTATTAACTCCATTAAACTGATAGAGAAACTAAGGCCCAAGAATGTCAGTGACTGTCCCAAGGTTACACAGGAGGAAGACCAGAACTGGGACTCCAGTCTATGGGGTTGAGCACTGGGGTTCCCTTCCATAGCCCAGCGGCTGAAACTATGCCATCCTGTACCCTCAGGACACAGGCTCGCTCCAAAATGTCTTCTCTTTTGAAGAACAAGAAAACAGGATGTAAGATAAGAAATCAGGAGTAATGTCTCATCTCCTCTAGATGTAAGACAGCCACCAGCTGACAAAGCTGACGAGGCACAGCTCAGCAGCAGGACTGCTTACTGAACTCACGCTGAAGGCGGGCATCACAAGAAGATTGTGATGGAAGAGATGCTCTTACCTCAAGTGGCAAGGGTTCCGTGCTGTCATTGAAGTTATGATCAAAAACAATCCCAGTCAATACGTAAAAAGCTTTGGGATCTTGAATTATGTACTTTTCAAACAAAGGTACTGAAGGGCAGCCTAGAACTGCAAAGAGAAAAATCCAGTTAGTGAGTGGGTGGCAGGGGGGTGAGGATGAGGTTGTTAAATGCTGCCCAACCACCCCCTTCTACCCCAAGAGATACGGACTTCCACCTCCTTGGCTAGCAAATGTCACTCACTCACTCCTTCATTGTGCAAACGACTGTGCACATCCTATATAAGACACCCAGAACCACCCTGGGCAGTGGAAATGCACAGTCAATGATAACAGCTAAACCTCTGTGGGGTCTCAAAGCTCTTGCATATTTGAGTTCTTCTAGGCTGACTCATTGGAAAAGACACTAATGCTGGGAAAGACTGAGGGCAAGAGAAGGGGCAACAGAGAATGAGACGGTTGGATAGCATCACCAACTTGATGGACATGAGTTTGAGCAAACTCCGGGAGATGGTGAAGGACAGGGAAGCCTGGTGTGCTGCAGTCCATGGGGTCACAAAGAGTCAGACACAACTTAGTGACTGATCAACAACAAAGTTGCTTGGGACTGAAGTAGATAGAACACAATTATTGTTCACGTTAATGAGAAAATTATCACTGCATTTCCAGCTTATCTTCATGGTTATAAAAACCAAAAGTGGAAACAAAATCATCAGAAAGTATAGCTGCTCTGATGAGAGAATTAAGTTTTTAAAGTCACCTGCCCTCACATCTGACTGGTAATTCAGGATCCTCCTTGAGAATAATTCTTTCTCAGAAGGTCGAAGGTGTGATTATACCACTGAGCGCGCAGCACTGCCAAGGGGAATATCTGATTCCTCGGAGGCAACTAGAAACCTGTGATGCTTCTGTTCCTTGATCCCTGGGTTCAGAAATGTCACTAACACAGGCCCACATTTGCTCTTTCTTGTTCCCTTGCTTGTGATGAGTACATCCACCCGAGCTGCAGATGCCAGTGTTCAGAAAGCTTTTCTCTATTGCTGTTTTCCTCCCATCATTTGTCACCTTTTTTCCTTTCAGAAATCTGAACAGACGAGCTGGGACTTCCAGACATGCAATTCATGTCTATCCCCTCATCCTTCATACATATTCCTTCATCCATTTCTTGGTCTCTTGGCTTTACAGTCTTAGAGGCTTCTCTTGACTTTACCTTCCCCATCACCAACAGAACTTCACACATGTCCATCCTATTATTTCCATGAATGTTATTTTGATAATCATTTTTAATTTCCAAGTCCTCTGTTTCTTCCACTGTTTTCTTTTTTATGGGAGTCTAGTTTCACTTTGGAGTGGCAATATTTTCTCAAATGTCTCTGAAAATACTAATGAGAAATTTTTATTAACTAGATTAAAAAAAAAAAAACAGGGCATGCACCTGGTAGAACTCTGAGTGATCTTAAAGGTTAAACGGTAGAGTCCTTCAGCTACCATTGGCTCCTGATTCCTTTATCACGGCACAATCTCTGTAAGCCAGTTTCTTTTGTATATTAAAAAAAAATCCGACAGTCCCCGGCCGCGACCATGGCGGAGAGGCCCGAGGACCTAAACCTGCCCAATGCTGTAATCACCAGAATCATCAAGGAGGCACTCCTGGATGGTGTCAACATCTCCAAGGAGGCCCAGAGTGCCATCTCCCGCGCTGCCAGCATCTTTGTGCTGTACGCCACATCCTGTGCCAACAACTTTGCGATGAAAGGGAAATGCAAGACACTGAATGCCAGCGATGTGCTGTCCGCCATGGAGGAGATGGAGTTTCAGTGGTTCGTTACCCCATTAAAAGAAGCTCTGGAAGCTTATAGGAGGGAGCAGAAAGGCAAGAAGGAAACTTCAGAGCAAAAGAAGAAAGACAAAGACAAAAAAACAGATTCGGAAGAGCAGGACAAAAGTAGGGATGAGGACAACGATGAAGATGAGGAAAGGCTGGAGGAAGAAGAACAGAATGAAGAGGAGGAAGTGGACAACTGAAGACTATGGGGAGACGCCCCTTGGAACAAACCACGCAAAAACCTGGTACACATTTGTGTGAAGCTTTATCCGGCTGGGCAGAGTAGTCTTAGGCAGAAGAGCCTGAGAGGATTGAAATAATAACTGAATTATCATCAGGATTATCATCAAAGCCAGTGCTTCCCAGATTCAGCATCTGAGTAGCAGAATCCTGTTCTGCTTAATCAGTCTCAAGGTTGTAACTTTTTGGCAAGAGGGATTCTTGCCTCTTGATCTCTTTCGTTTACATACACATAGTTAGGCAATTGCTGATCCCCAGTTCCCTCCCTGCCCCTCAGAAAAGTAATAAAAACTTCCACACTGCCAACTATGTCCCAGATCACAGAGGCAGTTAAGGCTCAGGAAAAATTAGGGTATGATCACAGTCAACCTATTTGATTATACAGTATTTGGCAATACTAGCTTATTTCAAGTGGTCAGAATGGCTTAGCCTTAGGAAACTACTAACAAGATTGAAGAGAACAATGAAATCTGCTGTCTCTTCACTTGACAGTAACATTAATTGAATTTTGTTTTCTACAGACCCACCTGGCTTAGAGCCCTTCTATATTGCATGTAACCTGCCTGGAAGGCTCCCTTCTAGGCACATACTGTTTTTAAATCCACAGAGTAGAATTAGTTAAGCAAGGTTGCCAACGTCTTACTCTTATAAAACTGATGGTTTAGTCTTAAATGCACCTCACTGCCTGCCACTGTACAGCTTCAGGATTTGTCATCACTTCCTGGAAGGTATAAAATTCCAGGTTTTCATGTCCAGTAGTCCATCTTCCAGATTTGTGACTATGACTTTTCATTTTTCCAACTCACGACAAGTTTCAAACTTTATTTCTTCTAGGCACAACTTTCTCCCTCTGTGCTTCTTACCACCTGTCTCTGTGCTGCCTCTCCTCTGCTCCCCATTCCCACTTTCTCTGTCCCTCTTTTTTTTTACTTCTGCCAACCCAAGAACTTGGATGACCTGCAATATCCCAGAGTATGGGTTCCTCTGATTCCCTAGTTCTAATCTAATGTCTTAAAACTGATTTTGTAAACCTCTTTGACCCATGAGGGAAATCTGATGGTGCTCAGGAATTTAATTCCTCCCCTAACCCATCCCCTTTAACTGCTTCTAAGTATCTCTGTTGACCTTTCCAGGTTTTCTTCTCTTTCCATTTGGTGCTCCAAGCACTTTTTTGTTGGTCTCTTTAAGTTGAGTGCCTGGAGGTTGAAAGGAAGTGAAGTGTAGTTTGACACTGTTGATTTGTTAAATGAATACAGTGGAAAGTTTGTTGACAATTGAGTGAAGAATATTGAGAAAATTATAATGCTTTGTATAATAAAAAACATTATTGTTAAAAAAAAATCCATGACTTATGTTTTTGGCCATGATGGAGTTAACAGAGATTGAATTTATCCTCCTACCACAAAGAACCAAAACACTGGACAAGAAAGAAGAGAATCAAGTTTTTCAGACAACGGTCAATACATAGCACAGCATTATGATTCATGGGAAAAGAGAAACAAATAAGATGACCACTAAGAGTGCTCTGGTTTTCTGTCTGAAGGCACATTTCAACCACAGAACAGGGAGGGGAAACCCAAGTGGAACACAGATAGCTATGTGGCTGCATCGACAGAGGTTTGAGTTGGAAGAGTCTGAAGTGGCTTTAAGTTGCAGGCCAGAGTTCCCAGGAGAAGGCTGTGCTGCGAAATGGCCCCAGAAAGCTGCTCAGAGGACACTTTAATGACTACTATGATATGCCCTGGCTGGGTGAGCAGGACAGGACCGGCTCAGTGGTGCCCAGAGCCCACTGAGACCAGCAGGCACTTGAGTTCTGACCAGCCAGTGGGGACAGTTCTTGGTGATCACTTGAGGTGTTTAGAAGAGTCACACCTTAGTAATGGAATAAATTAACTTTAAGGTAAAAGCTGTTCCACACCTTGCCCCACACACAAAAAAAGGTTAAAACAACTCCTGAAAAGACTTGTTAGTGAAACTGAACTTAACCTTTCTACCAGAACATTAGGTTAAGGAAAGGAACATTACCAACATCTTTGGATCCCACATGTACTTCTGACCATATGCCTTCCCCTTCTTTCAGAGATACTCACTTTCTTGAATTTTATGCTTTTACCATACATTGATTTATCCCAGACAAGAGTTTGACTTTGTGTATTTTTAGAATTTTTGAAAATAAAATTGTGCCCCATGTAAAAAAAAAAACAACCCCACTCTTTAAACAACCACTTGATCCACAAAAGCTAAGACTTGATCCAGTTCTCAAACTGTATGATCAAGACTCTTTTGTTTTGCAGGTAAGTTCATTTGAACCCTTTTCTTAGATTACACATATAAGCAATATCACATGGTATCTGTCCTTCTCTGACTTCACTCAGTGTGACAGTGAAGGTGGGGGATAAATTGGAAGCTTGTGACCGACACACACACCACATATAAAATGGATAATAAAGACTCACTGTAGCACACTCATCACTACACTCCACAGTGGCCTACGAAGAAGGAGCCTGCAAGAGTGGAGATGCGTGTGTGTGTGTGACTGACTCACTCTGCTGTAGACCTGAAGCCAACACGATGCTGTCATTGTTGTTGTCTAGTCACTCAGTCGTGCTCAACTCCTTTGGGATCCCATGGAACTTCCAATACAAATTTTTTTTTAAAAAAAGACTTACTTTCTCTTCCTCTGTATTACTTTTTTGATGTTCTAAGATGGTTGCTAGCAGTTCCTGGGACTAAGACTTCCCAGCTGAAGTTCTAAATGGAATAGTGAGGGCCCTGTCTCTTAACCTTTCTTCTGTATTTTGTCATTTCACTTCTCTCTGTGTTGTATTCTGAAAGTTTCCTTCAGCTCTGTCTTCCAGTTCACCAGTTTTACCTTCAACTGAGTTTTGTATTATATTCTGATTATTTTTCACTTCTGGAAGTTCTGTTTGGCTTCCCCCCCCCCCCCCCCGCCCCCCACATCTGCTAGGCGACTCTTACAGTGGAATGCTATCTACAAACACTTTCAGGTTGTTTTTTATATTTTTAAATCTAGTAAACACAGTGATTTCATAATGTGATGCTAATAATTCCATTATCTGAAGTATCTCTGGTTCTGTTTCTGCCATCTGTCGTTCATACTGATCTTCACCCTTGCTCTCTTGCTTCCTGGTATGTGCTCACTGACAGTGACATATTTGTGGCTGCCCTTCTTTGAGATACAGAATCATGGCATGTTCTTTCAGAGGAGGGTGACATTTGCATCTGGCCATTGACATCTCACTTTGTACTTTGAGGGGTTTTCTCTTCTTTTCTTTTGACAACCAGGGCTCCAAACCCCGGAGGCGGGCTCTCCTGCTGCTGTGCTGTTTTCTCGAAGCCCAACCGGGGTGGGAAAGAGGCTTGTTCTCTGCTGGCTCAAGCTTACAGTGAGAGTACAGGCATTTGGGGTCCTGGCTCTATGGGAGATGGTCTCCTATGAGACGTCCCACCTGAATGAGCTCAGTTCCCTCTTGTACAATGCAGGTTTCACAAGAAGCAGTTTGAGGATTCCATTGACCTCTGTGTTCTTTCCTTCACCTGGATTTTTTTTTTTAGAAAAATATCCAAGAGTACAGAAATATTTTAACAACACAATAAAGTATGTTAAGAAGAGTTCATATAAGACGATCCAATTTTTGTTAGAAAAAAGGAAAGAAGGCTGTATACAAGGCTTTGAAAAATCAAAGTGAAAGTCACTCAGTCGTGTCCAACTCTTTGCGACCCCATGGACTACACAGTCCATGGAATTCTCCAGGCCAGAATACTGGAGTTGGTAGCCATTCCTTTCTCCAGGGGATCTTACCAACCCAGGGATCGAACCCAGGTCTCCCGCACTGCAGGTGGATTCTTTACCATCTGAGCCACCAGGAAAGCCCATAGAAGGTTTTAAATAGCCCTTATATCTGGGTGATAGGATTATGAGTAAATTTTCCTTTTTATCCTATATAAAGATTTGTTGTTCTTTTATTTCCTTAGCCTTATTTAGGTTGCCTTTTTAAACACACACATATACATACACACATATTTTGTTAAATTGCACAAAATAGTATACTTACAGGAAGGCATAAAAAACACAAACGTTCAGTTTAATGAACAATTATGAAATTAACATCTAAGTAATTCTGGATCAATATATTTTTACCCTATTTTATTTGTCTTGATAGTTGGGTTGGTCCAAATAACCTAGTGTGCAGAACACTAGTGTTCCAGAAGCAGAACAGCAATAATCTCTTTCCCAGAGATCCCCAGGAAAAAATCTTGCTGTTTCCTTGAGGCTTACTGAGTTATATGTCTTCCCTGGACAAACCCCTACAGTGAGGGGACTGCCAACTAGTGCAGAGAGATTACAAGTCACCCTGCACCCAGGGTGGGGCCGTCACGGGCTCAGAGTGGGAAAGGAATCAGACCTCCAGGGAGGAACAGGCTCTGTGTGTACATCCAAAGGGCGGGTAGATGCTGGGAAGAAAAACCCAGATATCTGTCATGGTTTGGGAGAGATCATCAAGCTACTGCTTGTGCTTACTTCTAGGCTGGAGGATTTGCTTAAGGGAATGGCCTGAAGGTATTAGTTGTTGTTCAGTCGCTCAATTGTGTTTGACTCTTTGCAACCCCATGGAACGCAGCCTGCCAGCTCCTCTGTTCATGAGATTTCTCAGACAAGAATACTGGAGTGGGTTGCCATTTCCTCCTCCAAGAGATATTCCCAACCCAGGCGTTGAACCTGCATCTCCTGCATTGTAGCCAGATTCTTTACCACTGAGCGACTAAGGAAGCCCATGGCATAAACCCTATCTCTATAATATTGTTTGCAATTTTCAAAGCAAGGAATTCTTGTATTTATTGTAAATTTTAAGTTCCTTAAAAAAATCTTTTTAATTCCATAAAAATACATCCCAAACAGTTAACAAAGAATTCTGGGAAGTGGAATTAGGGAAGGGACTTTAACTCCGAACTCTGTTCTGTGTCACATATGGTTCTGTAATAAGGTGAGAGCTGTCTGAGGACAAGGAGTGAGCCAGGAAGACACCCATGGAAACAGAAGGGAGGTGGAAACAGATGAAGACTACAGTATCACAGCACTCAAGCAGCAGAGAATTCCAGACAGGAAATGCATGAAAGCAGCCCCACACAATGAGGACAAAGGAGAGAAAGAGCTGGATCTAGCAGTCAGCAAGTCATCTTTCCCTCTTGAATGTCTGCAAGTACTGCTGCTGCTGCTGCTGCTGCTAAGTCGCTTCAGTTGTGTCCGATTCTGTGCAACCCCAATAGACAGCAGCCCACCAGGCTCCCCCGTCCCCGGGATTCTCCAGGCAAGAACATTGGGGTGGGTTGCCATTTCCTTCTCCAGTGCATGAAAGTGAAAAGTGAAAGTGAAGTCGTTCAGTCGTGTCCAACTCTTCGCGACCCCATGGACTGCAGCCCACCAGGCTCCTCCGTCCATGGGATTTTTCCAGTCCAGGAGTACCGGAGTGGGGTGCCATTGCCTTTTCCACTGCAAGTACTAGCCCCTTCCAATCAGCGCTCCAGAGGACAGTCAGAGAAATCTCGGTACAACAATGACACTGCAGTCTAACCTGACTCCTCAAAAGTCCTGCAATGGACCCTTCTGCACACAGGAGGAAGCCCGACGCTCTGGCAAGGCTAGCGAAGCTCTGCACGCTGTGGCTCCTACAGCCGTGCCCAACCTCACCCAGCTCTACCACGTCAGCTTCACCTGTTGACTTCCAGATCCTCAGTCACCCGAGGGACTGGCTGCTTGCTGTCCCCCTCCTGGATAGCCCCTGAAACCCACCACCCTCCCATTTCCTGTGGGTAGACCATCACGTTTTATCACACTTTATCACCTCACCAGGGAGGATTTCTGGGTTTTTTTTTAATTTTGTAATCTCGTATTTTATAAAAGGTAGCTGAATTAGAATAGTGTTTTAGAATACTAGGAAAGCATAAAGCGCAACTTTCAAAACAGTTTCCCCACATTCTACAACTGAGGACCTTTAAAAGAACTGTCACATTGAGTGGCACTCAAGAGGTGGGGGAGTAGAACCGTTTCTTTTCACTTTCTGCCTTATGTATTATCAGAATACTTTATAAAAATACATAATTATAGAAAAATATATATATATATAATTATAGTAACTTTGAAAATGTATTCCACATTTTGAAAAATTTTATCTACCTAACTGCATTCATTCACTCAATAAGTATGGACTGAACACCTACTGTGCGCCGGGCACAGTGTGTGAATGGAACGCACACATCCTCTCCCCTGTGGCGGATGCAGAGCCCGGCGGGGAAAGGCAGACAGTGCACAGGAAGCAGTGAGCAGGAATGTAAATAAATAGTTATCAAGATGCTATGAACACATCCAACAGGATTCTGTGAGAGAGAAAAAGGCAGAATTGGGAAACCCAAAACCTACACTCCTAAGTGCCATTTTAGCTGAAACCAGAATGATAAGAAGGAAAAGCTGGAGGCAAAGCGTTCTGTCAGAGGAGCAAAGGCTCCCAGAGCCCAGGATATGAAAGGGAGCACGAGGAGAGCAAGCAGGCAAGACTGGGAAGGCCCGACCTGAAGCCGCTGAGGGACGTAGGCTGGGGACTAGCCAGATCCCACCCATCTTTTAAAGACCTTTTTGGCTCCACCTAGAGACTGGATGAGAATGGGACAAGAAGAGGAGAAAAGAGATCAGGTAAAAGGCTAACTCAGAATCTCTGAGTGTTTTCTGTTTATTAGACAGAGACATAACTGCAAACCAAGACTTCTGATTAAATATATGAGATGACCAGTGTCACTTTGGGTGAGTTAGAACAAACACTTCACATTTTAATTAGCCTTGAAGCCTTGTGACATAAATATACAAGTCTCTCATGTGTGTTGTGCGAAATAATAAAGACGCATGCAAACTCTTTAGAATTTGGAGAGCCCAGATGTGGAACCACTACTGTAAGAACTCACAGGAAAAAACTTCAAACTAGACTTTATCAAAATGACCCCTCTGTCCTGCCCCCATCTTTATGGCTAACCTTCAAACTCAACAGGAAAGAAGTCTTCCACCATTTCAGTGATATTCTTCAAAGTTTCACTTTTGGAAGGGATATAAACTAATTGAAATTTACTTTTCAGAGGAAATTGATTGAAGAATTCTGGCAGAGAAGTGATGTCAGTTATATTGTAGTCTATAGGAGGTCTCTTTCTTGGCAAACTACCAAAACGAAGATATAGTATAACTGCACAGAACAGTAACGGCATCAAGATTTCAAGGACTGTTACCAGAGTCTTTCGTTTCTAAAATAAAAACAAAAGCCATATGTTAATCCAAAATAGAACACAAGTGTTAAGACACTACATGGGAAATGTTTTTCCATTAAGAACACTGTCAATCAACTACACTTCACTCATAAATATGCTAATCCAAAATAAAACACAAGCATTAAGTCACTACATGGCAAATGTTCTTTCATTAAGAACACTTTCAATCAACTATGCTTCACTTATATGTGTGTGTGTGTGTGTGTGTGTGTGTGTGTGTGTGTATATATCAAAGAATGCTTATATTTCTTCCAGCCTTCCTGTACAACACATAAAAAAGAAAAAAAAACAGAATGAGAATTAGCTAGAAACATCTGCTTTTATCTCTTATGTAACACCAATGGCTAGAAATCAGTAGCAACAATGGTTATCTTCAGTAATTAGAGCTAACGAATGGAATTACCACAGAAAGAAATGTGGCTCATCTGCAGAAAAGGGCTCCTTTATGAGTTCTTAATTTTTTCTTTACTCCATGATTAGAAACCAATTTAACTAAATCATTCGGTTCCTCCGAAGGAGACTCACATTCTCCCTACAGATAACCATACCCACCTTTAAAATGAAATTCTTCCAGAGAAGAAGTTTTAAGTTCCTGAACATCGTCATTTTTCTAGCTGAAGAGGAGCAATCGCCACTAGCTGGGAGACAAATGGGGAGATGTTACTAACGTTAAAATGCTGAGTGACTCTTTGGGCCTTGGGAAGCTCTCTGCTGTCAGGGTTTCAGAGCCCCATCTGGACCACTTTTCCTCCTTCCTGTCCAGCAGTGCTGACCCCTCCCCTCCCTACCATCTGAATATTAAAGTGCTCCAGGGCTCCACCTGTGGACTCAGAGTGGCATCACTCTGTAGGTGCTCTCACTATTTTGGGTTTAAATCCATCTACATGACTTTTTAAATTTACATTTCCAGCCTTGAGTTACTTCTAGACCCAAATGTTCAACTGCCTATTTGTCATCTCCACTCAACCTGCCCAAACGAGTCTACGCATACATTTCTCCTAAAACAGGTCATTCTTAGTCGTCCTCTCCTCAATGTCAGTTCATTCTTCCAGGTACACAGGGTTACTGCCTCTACTTCTGAAATACACCAGAATTCAGTCCTTTTCACCACCGCTTCTCTAGGCACCCTGGTCCAACACTGCCTCATCTCTCACCTGAACGCCTGCAAGAGCCTCTTCAGTGGTATCACTGCTCCTGCCAACCTGCAGCCCATCTTCCCTGCAGCGGCAGGAGTGATCCTGTTGGGCCACATCCACTTCTTCACTCAAAACTCTCCTGTGGCTCCTGTTTTGCCACAGGGAAGAGCCTGGCCTTGCTGATGACAATGAACATCCCATGGGATGCTCCATGTCATGAAGCAAAGCTCCACGGGATGCAGCCTGTTAGCTTGCTCATCTCTGCCCAACCGTCCCCTACTCTACCGCCCCTCCTTCTGCACTCCCAAGTCACAGGCTTGAGCAGAGGAGCCACATGTCTGCCCCACACCTTTGCCCCTGCTGTCTCCTCTGCCCAGCACACACGTCCCTCTCATGTTTACATGGCCAGCTCTTCTATTTTTTTCAAATCTTTATTTAAAAGTCACTTTCTCAGCCTTTCTTGATCATCCTATATAAAATATATAAAATTTCAAACCACTGAAAATTTTGTATCAATCTTCCCTGTCATTTTTGCTTCTTAGCACCTTTAAATTATTTAACTTGATATTTATCTGATTTAATATGATTTCCCTACTAGAATTCACATGCTTCAAGAAGGCAACAATTTTTTGTCTTTTCTTTTACCACTGAATCCCCAGACACAAGAGTAGGGCCAGCATGTGGTAATCAGTCAGCAAATACTGAATGAATAAGTAAATAAATTAAAGGGCCGGCAATTTTTGCAGGAATGTGGTTGGAACAGACGTAATTGTGAGGAGACTAAAACGCTCTGGATAGCACCAAGTTCCTTCTCTTTTCAGTCTGTGTTTCCCAAGTGTAACATATGCTTTAACTTTTAGATACGACCACAATGATGTTTTCTTTTTCAGAAAAATATTTTTCCATTGAGGAAAGAAAAGGTCTACTTTCCCTTCAGTTAAAGTACCTCTGACACTGCACATTAGAAATTAAAGAAACTGGGGACTCCCCTAGTGGTCCAGTGGTTATGACTCTGCTCCCAATGTAGGGGGCAGGGGTTCAATCCCTGATCAGAGAACTAAGATCTTACACTGCCTCACCACATGGCCAAAAAAATAAAAAGAAATTAAAACAACAGCACTATGACTAGTACATGAAATATCACTGAATTGTACCATTTAAAATGGCTAATTATGTGCTATGTGAATCTCCCCTTGATGAAAAATAATAGTGAATGAAGTGATGCATTTACTTAGTCATCTACTGCTACCATAACCTTACATGACAAACTCCACATCAGAACTCAGTGACCAAGAGCAACAGGTATCATTTACTTCCTGCTTATGGGTCTGCTGGAGATTTGTGGCTGTCCTGGCCTCTTGGGACTGGCTGGACCTGTCTACAGGTCTGTCATGGGCTGTATGGTGTCCCCTCAAATTCATATGTTGAAGTCCTAACCACAGTACCCCGGAATGTGACTGCATTGGGAGTCTGGCCCTTTAAAGAGGTGAGTCAATCACAACGAGGTTGTTAGGGTGGGCCCTAATCTAATCTGACTAGTGTTCTTGAACAGGACGAAGTCTGGATACACAAAGAGGCGTCAGGGATGCAGAGCACAGAGGGAAGACCACACGAGGACACAGACAGAAGACAGCCGTATGCAAGTCGAAGAGAAAGGTCTCAGAAGAAACTAAACCTGCTGACACCTTGATCTCAGACTCCCATCCTTCAGAACTGTGAGAAAATAAATTTCTGTTCTTTAAGTGCCCCCGTCTGTGGTATTTTGTTACGGCAGCCTGAACTAATACCGGCCTGTTCTGTGTCTCCTCAACCAGTCGCCCACTGGAGCATGTTGTTCTAGTGGCAAGAAGCCAAGACAAACCACATAGGTACATGGAAACCCTATGCTCATGCAACACTTGCTAAGCATCCTACCAGTCAAAGCAAACTCCACCCCAAGCCCAGTGTCACCACAACAGGGGAAGTAACTACTCTGGTGAGGGCACTGCAGCATCACATGGTGAAGGGCATCCATGTGAAATCTCATACAAGGAAAGAGTGAAGAGCTGGGAACAATATCCATCTACCAAACATTCTGCATTTAATTCTTTAAAAATTTCCATAAGAATTTGTCAACCTAAACCCTCACCACTGAAAAAAGGAAATATTTTGGCTCATTCCTGGCCCAACACAAAAAATAACAGCCAGAGACAATAAGAATACATGGTTTTCTCTGATCACAGTTCCAGTTCAATGGAATGGGAGAGCAAAATAGTAAGAGCAGATAAAGGCTTTCATATCTTAAAATTTGTGATAATACAGGTAGACTATTTCTTTTAAAAGAACATCTGGACTTCCCTGATGGTCCAGTGGAAAAGACTCCAAGCTCCTAATACAGGGAGCACAGGTTCAATTCCTTGCCTGGTAAGTTTCGCATGCTGCCAGAAATGGCCAAAATTTTATAAAAATAAAAGAGCATTTATTTAGATGCTTGTAATATACAACAGGGCTTCTTCCCTGATGTCTCAGTGGTAAAGAATCTGCCTGCAATGCAAGAGTCCCAGGAGATGCAGGCTGGAACCCTGGATCGGGAAGATCCCCTGGAGGAGGAATGGCTACCCCCTCTAGTATTCCTGCCTAAGAAACCCCATGGACACAGAAGCCTGGTGGGCCACAGTCCAAAAGGGTCACAAAGAGTTGGACATGACTGAGGAACTGAGCACGCAGGAGGGGAATGTACAACAACCAGCAATTATGTATTGAAGGCACTGTCTCTGGGCAAAATGATACCATAAAAAGACTGATCAGTAATGGAGCTCATCTTCATGGAACCCAGTGGAGAAAAAAAAAAAACCTAGTGAAGAAAAATAATATGTGCAAAGGAAAACATTATAGCACAAGTAAAAAGTGAGAATCAACAGAGATGCGCTTAAGGGTAAACAAGCTACCAATGAAATAGAACACAAGTCTAGAAAGACCTCACAGGTATACAGGCACTTGTTTATAACAAAGCTGACACTACAGGACACAGGGTTCAAAAAACTGCTCAGAGTCAACTGGGCCTCCACCATATACAAAATAGCAACTTCAGATGAAATACAGATCAAAATGTGAAAGATACAACAATAAAGCTTTTAGGGGGAAAGCAGAACATAGTCATGATCCTACAGTAGGCAAGTATTTCTTAAATATGACTCCAAACCACTAAATACAAAGAAAAATGATAAATGGAATTATATCAAAATTAAGAATTTCTATTCTACAAAAGGCGTTACCTAGAATACATTTGTTGTTGTTGTTCAGCCACTCAGTCGTGTCCGACTCTTTGCGACCCCAAGGACTGCAGCACGCCAGGCTTCCCTGTCCTTCACCATCTCCCAGAGTTTGCTCAAACTCATGTCCACTGAGTTGGTGATGCCATCCAACCATCTCATCCTCTGCTGTCCCCTCCTCTTCCCGCCTTAAATCTTTTCCAAATGATGGGTATACAGAATATTTAAAGAGTTCCTACAAGCCACTAAGAAAAAGACAGACATCCCAACAGAAAAACAGGCAAGAAATCTGAACAAATGATTTCCAAATGAGATACCAAATGGCTCGTAAGCATGGAAAAGTGCTCAACCTATCCGGTCATCAGGGAAGTGCATTTTAAAACCGCACAGCTGACACTGCAATGATGATCTCTGCACAAGAAGTTTATTGAAAAGCACTCTCAAAATCAGCACTTTGGGGCATAAAGGAAGCAGGCCTGAGCAGAGAGAAGCCAGGCCTCAGTGGAGTCAGGATGAAGGCCTCAGTCACTTCCGCAGCTCACAGTATCACAACAGAACACAAACTGAATTATCAGCCTCATGCCCAATTATGAGGACTCTAGGATTCAAACACGTCCCAGAAAAGCAGGGACAGGATTAAGGAAACTCCGTTTATGCTGTATTTGGGAAAACAGATGGCTGAGACAAAGAAAAAAGGGCTGAAAATAAGCAACACAACAACTATTCAGAATTTCTACAAGAACACATTGCTAGTCCTTTGACCCACCAATCCCACTTCTAGGAATCTATTCTACAGACACAACTGCACAAACGTGAAATGACGTATGGTTATTCTCTGCAGCAGTGTTCATAACAGCAAAGAACTTTAAACAGCCCATCAGTAGGGGATACAAGCAGTTATATAAACTGGTGTTTATCTAAACAATGAAATGATATGCAATCTTTAAAAGGGTGGGGGACAGCTCTATGTACTAGCAGAAATCTGGGATCTACAAGATACATATGAGAAAATATATTTTCTTATTTATCATAAATGTGAGAAAATATATGAGAAAAAGAATAGAGACAAAAGAAACAGAGAGAAGATTATAGACATAAAAGAGAAGAAGATAAGAAAGATGCAGATAATCAATGTCCCTGAGCACAGAATCACGTGCTGATGTTCTTGGGTGCCATGACAAACAGCACAGACTCCGTGGCTTGAACAACGGAAATTTATTTTCATACAGTTCTGGGGGCTAGCGGTCTGAG